CTATACTTCGTATTATTGCTTTCTTTCTTGCACATTTTTTTTTACTTTATTCTTTTCATTGTATTTTTCTAGCAAGCATTTCATTACCATTGCATTTCGCGCTGGCTGAAGAACAGGAACGTTTGCCCTTTAGATAACAAAGAATGGCAGATCAAAAAGTAGATTAGCATAATTTAATTTAAAACAATGTAAAGTTTAACAGTATATATTAATGTAGTTTTTTTACTTTTACAAGGCATGGGAGGTACAATTCTTCCGATGTTTAGAGAAGTTGCAGACTGTTACGTTTGAATTGGTATATATTTTCTACAAGATAAAATTCGATAAAGAAAATTTTTTTTATAAAATATGCTTTTATAAATTATTTTTAAAAAATGTCGATTAATGCTAAACAGTCTTTTGTATTCTTTTTAAACACGCAAGAAATATTGAAATACCGAATTAAAAACTTATAAATTACATGTTTTATACAATAAACACTAATTTTAAAGTCATGAAATCAATTTAAATTTTTAAAGCTTACAAAAAAATTATTAAAAAAGTAAATACAAAATGCATACATTAAATAATTTTTATGACTACTAAATTTTTAAAATTAATTATTTCAGATGGAAAAGTGTATTTTTCATAACCATTCTCTAGCAATCAATTCGGGTTTCAATAAGAAAATTAGTATTTTTAATAATGTAAATAGCCGTAAGATGAAATGTGATACTGTAAAGTTAAAAATGGAAGTTTCCAAAAATTTAAAAATATCATTTCTTTAATATTATAATAGATAATTAATGAAAATGCTCGAAAAAACTATTTTGAGATGAAAAATGAATTCGATTTTATTACTATAAATATATTAGAACGTATAAAACGAGTAAAGTTCTAGATATATATTGAAAATCATTTTAAATCTGGATTTGGGGATACATGTAATGGCTTCAAATGAAAATATGCATCAGATAAATCCTAGAAAAATGTGAAAATTTATTATATTCAGTCGATGTAGGAAAGGAAACAACTCCAAATAGCAGCAAATGAGAAACATAAATATCAATCTGATGTATCGATTTTTTGCATCATCAAGAGATACACAGCCTTTTGCTTCTTCAACCAAACACGTTTCTGTGCTTCTTATTTAGACACACATTATTTATATACCTATTATAGTTAGGTGAGACATCCCAGTAGAGTAACGGATAAACATGACCAAGACCAGACTTAAATCTACATTTTATAAAGAAAGATAAATGAATACAGTTCGATTTCTTTTTAGTTTAAACTTGTCCATGAATTAAAAATTAGTGGAATGATTTTTACAGTATACGCAAAATGGCGGATAACATTTCATTATTTTGAAATCTTTTTTAAACAATTAGCTTATTGTAAAACAAGTCATTGGCTTGTTTCTTAAAATTATTCTTGTTATAGTTTTTATCGAGATAACTTTTCTCTCAAAGATAACTTCCAATAACAACCTGTCTAGATATAAAAGGAATTTAATTTCTGCTGGAGTATGATGTTCACTGACTGTAATTTTCTTGACGTTTCAAAACTTCAAACGTTCATTAAATTGGATACCGGCTATTCATTAACTATTAAAAGAATGAGAAGTTTCAGAAATAGAATTATGAGTTTGAAACGCCAAAGAATCTTTTCTGTCTCCGCCATTTTGTATTTTTTTCCCTTGTTTGTTCTTTTGTCCTATTTCCTTTGTATTCTCTAAGGGGAAAAATTTCCAAGTTAGTTTACTCGAGAGAGTAGACGACGTGACCGTTGACGTTCGGACTGATTAGGATGATGAAAGAAGATTCGTTAATCTCTAGACAAAGTCGGATACACTGTACATTGGTTTGTGAACAAACAAATCCTAATTGACTATATTCTAAGATTTAAACAAAAACTACTCATTGAAGCTTTCTATTTAGTTCGTTAAATTTAATTTACTAATTAGTTCATTAATCAAAAATTTCTAGAATAAAAATAGAAAATCGAGATATTAGAACGGCTTAAGCTTTAAATAAATGTTAGTATCAGCTAATACAAATTTAAACAATATATTAATATAAGTTCGGAAACAATCTTCGAGTTATCATTATTTATTGTAATTTTGACAGTTCGTGTAAATCTTCCAACAATATACCTGGTACAAGTGAATGAAATTTGTTTAGTTTCCTAAACTGAAATTTGAAAGATAAACCGTGGCGGAAAAGCAAAATTACATTTATCTCTTGGCTCTTTCAGTCTTTTCCAGGTCAAAGTTGTATTCCATATCCAGCAGCAACTTTTCCGATTTGTCTGCTTCCTTGGCATGTTGCTATCCGTCATAAATACAGCAAATGGAATTGTACATGCGGAGGAGAACCATGTGCTCCCCTAATGAAAAATAGCACGCGATATACTTCACAAGTGAAGCCAGGACGAGCACGTGACAAGACAAATATTTTCCACTTATATGCTGACCGCGTAGAAAAGGTAATGAGCCGAGTCCTCAAACCCAATTGCTAATTTAGCACCCCCATGTTATTCTACTGCCTTCTCTACCCCATTTTACTTGGACTTTCCACGTTCTTTCAATTGTCAAGGTAGTGCAATTTCGAGTGCGATAGAAACGTCTGGCATGCGTTAAACAGAATTTAAAATCTTATTGTTTAAATCTATATTTTAAAAATGATTGCTTTCAAATATTCTAGTGTTATCCAATGTATCCAAATTTCTATAAAATACAAACTCTTAAAAGGTATTATATACGTATGCCAACCCTTTCCAATTTATTCTTGATAATGAGATCTTTCCATGCGATTCTCGTATAAAATAAATATACCCTTCATCATAAATGATAGATAATTAATTATGTAGGAGAAAAATTAAACATTTATCAATGTAACTGCACATATTTAATTAAAGTTATGCACTGGTACAAAAATTTGTTTAAAGTCAATGCAACAGAGATCATCTCCCAAATGTACAATAGGAATAAAGGTATTCTTCGTTTCGACACGTATTACGG